TGTCACATGTCTGGCTGTACTCCGCAATTAAGGGTTGCAGATGCGCGGACGAGAACAATTCTCAATCTCACCCGTACATTTCCGACAAAAAGGTCCACTGTAAAGCGCACAACGAGTAGTTCCCGCGAGTCCAGAACTTCTCGGTTATTTCTGTACATGTGGATATGGCATGGAGTTGAAATGCCATGTTCCATGTCCGCAGCTGACAGCGTCTGCGACCCACAACGGTGAATGCTCGGCTCGAGCCTCTCGAGTATCTGAGCCACAGCCATTTTTCACCGCCACGCAAGCGGTGGTTTGAGGGGCAACGTTACACCGGTATCAACTTACTCGCAACGAGTCTAGTATTCTTTCGTTCGTTTAGACTGCGATGGATGCTAGTGGGCTACTCCTTCCGGCATGGTAAGACACGATAGTCTATCCTCGGAGGCTCGGCATCGGTTTCTCAGGTCCCAAGCGAGTAAACCCAGAGCCCTACAAACCACCGATGCCAGCTAACCTCCGATGCTCTGCCTCCGTCTTACGCCTGCTCTACGCTTAGACAACGTGTTCGGCGTATCGAAAAACAACGGCAACTACGCAAGTTCACAGCCTATCCCAATCCTCCCGAGAATAATCGCGCGAGGAATCGCATGTGGCATGTACTCTCACGCCCTTCTAGACTCTGCATTAGCGCCGCTTCGAGAAGAAGCATCACCCTTCAACCACCACCAACACGACCTCCGCGCCGCTAGTTCACCGGCCGGGAATATCGAAGCTTGTAACCTAAGCCTCATCGCGAACCACCGTTGCCATCGCTGTCTCACGTCGACTCCGAGGTGGCTGGACTGTGGATACAGCAAAGTCTTTGCTTCGGAGTCTTGCGACAGACTATCGAACGATAGCTGGTGTAAGAACTCTGCCCGTGCCGACTCCGAACGAATGATAGGTGAGACGATGGGAATTGGCACTACTGGTCATTGGATATGGAGGCGGCTGGTATCGGGGGTCGGAGGAAGGTGTTGAGGCTCTGCGGGTACGTGCATGACCGCCGATGTGGGTCCTGTCGGTGTCGAGGATTGAGCATTCAAGTGTGTTCGCTTGGGTGGTGTGTAGGGTTTTGGGTGTAGTGCTGACCTGCTGTGAACTGTTGAGGTATTGTATTTTTTGACAGTGAACATGTGGCTCTTTTGTTACACGCAGGGATAAGACAGCGATAGCGAAGGTGGCATGTGTTGTGATGGATTGTGTATCTGTGCCTGAGGCTAGGTGTGGAAGGTGTGTAAGTGGGGTGTAGGTATTACTACCTCTGCTTTCTGTCCGCGCGTAGTAGTCATTCGTAGCATTGCCATGTGTACATGCCATGCGCTCGCATATCAACATGATGTTCGCTCCATGTTGGAATACCTTCCTCAAGTGTAGCCGTATATCGGCCGAAAGAGAAAAAACTTCAACCTACCTTTACCACGCCCAACTTGAACACCTCACACCAGATGCTACAAGCCTCCTGCGCCCGTACTGCTTCAATTCAGCCTTCACAACAGTCAATCAGTACACGTTAATTTTCCCGAAGCCAATATATCAGCCCGGCTAGCTCAATCGGTAGAGCGTGAGACTCTTATCTTTCACGTCCTAACTAGACTCGATTGGTTCATCTCAAGGTTGTGGGTTCGACCCCCACGTCGGGCTTAGAGTTCTCGGTACATTGCATTTGGATGTGTGAAGAACTTTTTTTTGGCGGTTAAGGATGATGGTGTTGCGGTTCTCATGTTTTTTTTTTTGGGTTTGGGTGGATGCCAAGAACGCGAAGCGAGAGGAAGATGTTGAGAAGCAGCGGGGAAATGATGGAACACTAGAGCATGTATGACTGCTGTGTGGAAGGAGTCGGAGATGGAAGCGGATAGATGTGCTGGGTCTGGTGCGTAATGTGGTATGCACGGTACTGTCTACTTCGTGCGCCGACTACGAGCACTAACAAGTCTAGAAAGACCGCCTAATACTACACGCTTTCATGACTTTGCTTCTACAGTGTGGTATTTGGAGAGTATCAAGAGAACTAATCTCGCGTTACTAGATCAGGCGTTAGAGTGGTGATGCTGGCTAGAATCGACAGCATCTACAAGATCGCGTCATGTCATGTCCGCTTGTATTGGGGTTCGCTAAAGGTTTTATACTGTGTTCGTACGTGGTTTGAGTACTCTGCGCATACTAACTTCTTACTTGCAACTTAAAAACCTTGCTTCTGTTGAACGCATGTCGCAAACGCAATCTTCTTGGAACGTTCCGCGAAACTATGTGTTAGCCGCCTACGTCGTCTTCTAATAGTACAAGACTAAATGGGCGATGTCTTGTAGCAGTCTAAGCATTGCGCGAAGGAAATTCCAGCGAACAAGTTTAGTTCATGTTTGGGGGATTTTGGTGAGCACTCACGACAGAAGAGCGTTGTGTAGAAGAATGGACATTCTTCTACTCTATCTACTATCTACACCAATACCACAACTTCCTCCCTCCCTCCCCTCCCATCCACCATCTCCATTCATATCAAAACCCACTCCCACCCACCCCATCCACAATTACTCCATGTCACAATCCCTCCCCTCCCACCCCAAACTCCATCAAACCCATGTCACAAGTCCCTCACTCCCAGCAAGGGACCAACAATCTCCTGCGAGAAGACCCCTTCTCGCAGCTTCTCAGCTTCTCGTGACTGCCGTAGCAGTAGCTCCGCCCGATGAAACGCTGACGCTCCCAAGTGTGTGGAATTGTCAGCCAAGATCCGTAGATTATTGTCTCAGTCAAACCACGCAAACTGGCGTAGCACTGCTCGTAGCAGCTTTTGCGTACGCCCCGAGTGTGCGATAGTATGAGCTGAAAGATTCACCAAGCTTCTCCGTGGAGCGAAGCGACACCCATACCCCTTCAAGTACATGTCATCACGACTGGCTACCGTTCCCAAGTGTGTGGGACAGATCAGCCAAGATGCGTGAATCCATGTCTTGTCAATCATCCAACCCTCGGTAGCATCGCTCATTACTCCGAGTGTGCGAAATAATGAGCTTCAGTAACGGTAGAAGCTTCTCCCTAGAGCGAAGCGACATCCGGAAGAATGTGTGGGTAGGTGTCCAAAGAAAGTGCGTTCCTTGGACACCACATCGAAAAGCTTGTCCCTAAGGCCAAGCGACCGCGTGGTGACGGTATGACCTTGAACCACCTCACTCGCCCACGTCAGTGTGGAAAAGCGAAGAGTAAAACCGCAATAAAGTCGTCTATGCGAACAAGAGCGACGATTGCGGTTTTGAGTTCAAGGTAAGGAAAAAGAAAAGAGGTGGGAGGGAGGGCGCGAGCGGGATTATATAGGCAGTGTGGGCGCGCGGCGAGAGACTGATCCGGCGCCGGGGCTGAGTAATGGATGGCGATGACGCGCGTTGGAAAGGCTTGGAAGGGCGTGGACGTTCTGTTTGCGGAAGGAGCGCGGATTTGGGGTCACTGGCGTGGTGAAGGTGAGTGACCGGGCAACGCGGCGAGGCGCCGACAACAGCGCGCACAGGGATCTTCAGGTTCGTTCAATTTCAGGTAGGAGACGACAATAGCATAATATTGTACAAGGAAATAACATTTGGTAGGTGTAGCCGTCCGGCTGCCCTTTTGTGTGTCATGTACTTCGTCTAATCAGGCCTGATAGCCTCCAGCTTATCCTCCCATATTTGAGAAGTAAGCTCATCCCTTCGCATTTCGAGCGGCCCCATACTAGAGAACACTACCGATACCCTATACTCCCTATCTAGTAGATCTTGAATCTTCGGAATCATCTCCTTCAGATCCGTCATTACAAATCGCCTGTAATTGTCGTGATACGTGGGAAGTGATGTAAAAGCTGCATCAAAGTCGAATATTACACGCGTTAGCTTGGGCATATCTTTGAGATTATCGAGATCACCGGTCTTGATGTTATGTGCCTTCTCTTCTCTTCTGTATATAGAGAGGACACTCTCCGTTGTCGTAATCCTGATGATTTTTATCTTGCGCACCCACTCGCGCGGTGGAACCCCGTAGCCGAAGCGCGGATCGTCGAGGAAGTAAGGGACGAGACGACATTCGACGAAGGAGAATGTGGTATTGCGGTACCAAGCCTCGATAAGCTCGGAGTAGAAGAGCTTGCCGGAGTAGTCACGATCCCAGAGGTGCTCGTAGGCAATATTGGTGCGGTTTGGGAACCCTGCGGGGCATATGGGTGTGACACCGATTTCGGAACAAAAGAGGAAATATCTCAGTACCTTCTTATCAATCCTCACGATCGACTCCCCGATGATGTATTGGTATGTCATGTCGCGAAGCTCGCGGGGTAATATAGCGCAGACCGTAGTGCAAATGGGAAGACACTGCGCCGCTGTATATCGCTTCATACGGCAATCGATCTTACTAGTGATATTTCGGGCTTCTTCCTGGAGTCTGAACATCCGTTGGTATCGACCGGTTTCGTGAGAAGGCTCCTTGACTGGACAACTGTTGCGTAGACAGAAGATATGATTCTCGGCGTTCAATTCTCCGATGCGCGCGTCTATAATCCGCTTGAGGACTTTCAGCTTCTTCAACTCGCTGTTGGAGGTTAGTCGTTGTTCTTTCCCACCCCAAATGGCGCGTACGTCTGAAGATACTCCCGGTCTTCGTCGACAGTGGCGGATACAGTATTCTCCCCAGCGACACTGGTATTTGTATGATTCAACGTAGACGGCTCGGAATACCTATTGAAACTCGTTATCACCGCCTGCGATATGTATTTGATGAACTCACCCTTCCACAGCAGAGGCAAGTCCTGCATCGCTGGGGACCCGAGTTGGCGTTACTCCTGTGACGCTGCTGTCGATGCTCACTGACATGATGTTTTGCTGTCAACTTGAGTGTTGAACTGGAGAAGTGATAAAGAATGCAGATGGTAAGTGGTAATGCGGATTTTCGTGAAGAGGTATAAGTGGAACACGCTCGTGATGCCTAGCGGTGACACGTGCGCACAGCTTTCATTATTATATCCCTACTATCCCCTCCGACGCATTGATCGCCTCATGGAACTTCTTGGTCCATTCTTCCACAGTAGTCTCCTCCGGTACCACCACAAACTTCAAGTTCAACTCAGATCGAACTATAAGTTTAAACCGCAAACGATGCAGTGACAGTAACACTGGAAACATGTATGCGGCGTGTTGAGCGCATACCTGCGCATCATACATGTATTCAACGAGATTCTCCAATATAATCGTAACAATGGGGCAAGTCCTGTGGAAATGCCTGAGCAACTCAAGTCTCTCCGCAAACTCTTCCTGCTCAAACGTTTCGCCACCGATCTGTACTTTGATCTCAAATCTCTTGATGAATCGGGGCGGGTTCAGATTGGTGGACCATCGCAATCTTCTGAGAGATCTGCAAATGAATTTGGGATCGATAACAAGGAAGGTCGCATTACGATACCACGCTCTGACCAGTTCGAGCCTGATTGGGTCGTCTTGAGTGAAGTAGCCGGGAGTCAGTAGCCAGGTGTCAGACCGGCACTTTAGATTAGCTTTGCTAATACCTTTAATGCTCTCGTGTCCGCTGACTTCATGGTCTTCGTCTAATTCGACTCGTTGGCCTTGGAAGATGAATCCGTATATCGTATCGCGAAGTTCTTGACAGAGTCGCTTGCGTACTTCCTCGAGCAACGCACGGCAGCGCGGCCCCTCGTAAGATTTGATGTAAGTGTCCACCTCGCATTTGGTTTGCTTGATGATGGTCTTCGCGACGCCGTCTGTCTTTCCAAGGACTGTTTGCTGTTCAGTGGTCAAGAGCGCAGGCACGTCTGCGTCGTTTTCCAATAGCCAGACAGCGTGTGAAAGCTTTTTAGCGTTTTCCAGCCGGAACGATGCTCTGTTCGATGTCAATGACTATCTCGATCGCAACGGAAGCGTATTACATACTCTCTAAGGTAAATGTTCATCTCATACTCAGAATCGCCATGATCATTCCATCTGATAGGGCTCCAGTATTCTGGTGGATATATCTGGGCTCTTTTCGCTCGTTAGTTATCAAAATTTAGAGGACTGTTATTGCTACTCACAGTTGCGCCATTTTGTGACACGCAGTATAGTCAATTTCCGAGATGTATTGCTGATTCTAGAAACGAGGAAATCTGGTTGTTCAAAGCTTGATACACAAAAACATTGGGGAAGTTCGAAGTTAAGTAGCAAAGGTGACGCATCCAAGCTCTTTCGGCTTAGCGTCCGATGTGACCGTGGTATACTTTGGTTGTTAAGATGAGATTTCATTGAGAACCATGGTTGCAATACACCAGAGTCAACGCTTACATTCGATACGTGATGGCGTTCGATGGCCCATAGCACCAGCATGCGACGCATTTAATTAACAATTTTCCGGTCAGTGCCGTTTCTTTTTGAGCGAGTCGTGCAATACAAGAACTACGTTGCTCGCGGCTGTTCCAAATCTTATCCTTCTGATTCGTCCATATCATCCTCTTGTGACCCGTCTGACTCATCCTCGTGTGATTCATCCGAATCATCCTCTTGCAGATCACCTGAAAAGTAGTGCTGTGAGCTATCCGAGATATACTTCTGTGACGCATCTTCCATCTTGTCCTGCATGTCGTCCCAGTCTGGATAATGTCCACTATACTCCTCTTTCCAGAACTTGATGCGAGCCTCTTCAACAGCCGCTTCGAATTTCTTTGTCCACCCTTCCACGGTAGTTTCTTGAGGCTCAACCAGAAATTCCAGGCCCCTTTCAGAACGCACTGTTACCTTGTATCCCCTCCTTCTCAGGTCAACCAAGTCTGGGAAGAGGTAGGCTGCACTCTGCGCATGCGCTCTCAATGGCAAAACTTCTGCGTCTCTGAAATTTGGGTAGTCAATGAGATAAGGCACGCAGATCGTGATCTTTGTATGCTCTTTGTCGAGGAGGAGGAGTGACTTCAACCGTTCCAGGTAACCGGTGTGATCGACAGTATCGGATTTAAGAAGTATCACCAAGGTGACGTGGTGTAGTAAGCTGAGCGGCTGTAATCCAGTGCTCCACGGAAACTGGAGGAGAAAAGACTCCATGATGGAGGGATCCATAACCCCAAACTTTGTAGTTTCAAACCACGCTCTAGTCAAATTTTCCCTGACTTTAGCGTCATCAACGAAGTAATCGGGCTCCAGAAGATAGCGGTAAGGGATACGCGTTGTAGTTCCCGGTTCGAGGTAGAGATAAAAGTTGCACTCGAACTTTTCGTCCTCCTCCGCCAATAGACGAACAGCTGAGTCCTGGAAAATGAAGCCATATATCATATCGCGGAGCTCCTGCGGAAGGGGTTTCACTTTCTGCAATATCTGATTGCATGGGAAAGCTTCATGCTTTGCGATCTGCTCGTCAACATCGGCTCTGAGTCGACGGATCGCGTTCATAATGCTGCAAGCAGCCGCGTGATAGGCGGCCAATTCCTCCTTTTTCGCATAGTTTAGTACTGTCCGATTGTGCTTGTGGGTAAATCGATGGAGAGATCTCAACTGTTTCAGTAAGATCCGGAGCCGTTGTGATGCGCTACTCAATGTTAATATTGCCAGATCACAACGAAACGCTACCACTTACTCGGCGATACTGAGACAATAACCGCGCGTAGCAGGACCGACATCGTCATAATCAGGAACCTCTGGCGTTCTTGATCGGCACCTTGTCGTTTGTTAGCTGTTGGGATCCATTGGACTGGGATGGTGGCTTACTGTAGTGCCATCTTGCGCAACGTTGTATAGCGCATACTTCTTGCTATTTCCAGAGCAGGAGATGTCTGCAGATATAAATCTGATGAACAAATATATCGAGCGAGAGCGAGAGCTTAAGTAGTAAGAATGGGGCAGCCAAGTTCGTTTGCATAGTCGAGTTGGGGTTCCGGTATTACCATTCACGGCGTCGTCTTGTACCCTTGATCTGATTTCATCACCTCCATCCCATGGTATCGCAACGGCTCAGAGTCGGCTCGCCACTTACACCTTCGGCAGCTTATGCGACTCAGATATGGAAAGACGCGCTCGGGTGAGAATCGTCGCGACTCTAAGAGCGACGGCAAGACCTGCCAGACCCGGAATTTGATCATGGATGTCTGGCGATGTAGAAAAGAGTACTATGAAACTCAATTCCTTTGGCGCAGATGCATTCGAACATGATTTCAATGTATTGGAAGTTGCAATTCTTACAAAGCAAGCTGCGTACCTAGATGGCCGCCACTAGTCAATCAATACTCCATCGCATCCTCAAACAAACCCCGCAACTGCTCCCTCTCAGCATCAATATTTTGCATCTCCAAACTAGGCGCCAACATCAACACTCTCGCTTGCGGAATGGTACCCTCAACCAGCTGATCCAAGTGCTCCTTCCCGAAACCTAGCGCCTTCAACCCACGTGGCTGGTCACCAAGCTTGACCAAGAACTCTGCGAGAGCCTCACTGAGTACTTCTCCCGCGCTCTCTGCTTTGACGTTCGAGATGTCGACACCGAATGCTTCGGCCGCCGCCAGATGTCGCTCTGGGTTCGACGCGCCGGTGAACTTGAAGACTGCAGGGGCGGTGACTGCGACACTGACACCGTGGGGGATGATGGTGTGGTCGACGTCGTAGCCGGAGTGCTTGTATCCAGGGTTCTGGCCTGAGATGGGGTACGACATGCCGTGGCAGAGATGCACACCTGCGTTACCGAAACCTACACCAGCGAGGGTCGCGGCTAGCAACATCTGCGACTGAGCTTCGTGGTCATCGGGATCCTTTACCGCGCGGGGTAGGTACTTGACCGTGTCTTTCAATGCCTTGAGAGAGAAGATGTCGGAGATTGGGTTTGCGCCTTGGTAGGCTGGACGGTTGAGGGGATTGGTCGGTCGCGGTGTGCGCTCGTAGTATGGGATTGCAGTCCACGATTCGAGAGAATGGCACAGTACGTCGAGGCCTGAAGATGCGTGGACAGCAGAAGGCATAGTACGGGTGTTCAACGGGTCGACTATGCCCAAAGTGGGCTTCAGGTTTCGATGTGCGATACCGGTCTTTGCTCTCTTGGAAACCAGATCGAAGATAGCAGTACCAGTTGTCTCAGAGCCAGTTCCCGCAGTCGTTGGTACAGCGATGAGCGGGAAGAGCTTTGACGGAATTGGCATTCCTTTGCCCAATGGCGCGTTGACGAAGTCTAGGAACTCTGCGTCGGGGAAGGTTGTGTACAAGTTCATGAGCTTGGCTGTGTCAATGACACTACCGCCGCCAACAGCTACGTACGCGTCTGGTTTCCACGGCTTCGCGAAGTTGATGGCTTCCATTATGCTGTGGTCCTTTGGCTCTACTCTGACCTTGTCAAAAATCTCGTATGTCACACCTTCTCTCTCCAGACCTTCAATGACCTGCTTCATCGCGTCTAGTTTCCTCACGTTGGGGTCTGTGACGACCATGACGCGCTTACTGCCCATGTTCTTGAAGTCCATGCCAACTTCCTTTGTACATCCAGGCCCGAATCTTATGCTTGATGCCGCCATCTCAAACGCATATTCCTTTTGTTGGGAGTGATCGAGGGGTGTGGCGAGATGTCGTCGTGCTTGCTGAACGGTAGACGGCGATTGGTGGTAGTTGGGGTTCGAATGGCAGGGACATGATGGAGGGTGTGTGTATTGTACGGTTCGGAGGAGGTTGAGGGCGCGAGCTGCGCGCGATGGCGCAATGCGGATTGCTGTCGAGATCACCATTATGAGCAACGGTTGTTGTCGTGGTGTTCGATCGTGTGGAGAAATGCGGGGAGGCGCGTGTCAGCTCCTACTGTATAGGTAGCACGTTGATGATGGTAACCACACAGATATATTTCCTAGTCGTGAATCGATACTCTGAAGGGGTATTTCCTATATGTACAGCCAAGTTTGCCAATTGGACGTGTGTGGGGATGAAGCTGTTCTCCAATATCATACCTCCCGCATCGCAGCTCGACCTCGGATGACAGCTGAATTTAGCCGCATTCGGTATACCGAGATGTGGGGTAAGCAATTGCCGCCTCCAAATCACATCGGAGAGAGGTCCTGTTCCCCAGTTTTTGCTTTACAGAGCCTCCAACGCGTCTGCGGCGCTGATGCCGAGCGTTTGTGACGCAAACGAGCGGATATTCAAGGGTCGCATTGTTGGCCGGTCGACATTGAACCTAGTTTCGACGTGCTGGCGTCCCTCCCTTCAATCCAACCACCGCGACCAACAAACACCACCAACATCGTGACGGTATGCCACCAGGACCATCGTATGATGAATGACGAACATTCGCATCATTTCCCGCCAGAACTCTGCCTAGCAACGGCAGAGGATGAACCCTTACACATCTATCAGCCTGGCGTGCCGTACGAAGCAGCAAATGAACATCGTGACACGCTCTCGTGTTAGCGCGCGCGTTCGAATCGTCGACTTTATACTGGCCTGAATGTATTGTCATGTTTCAGATTTCGAAGATCAGTTGTCCATTGGCTCGCTGGGCTTTGCAACTCGCCTTCCTCATGTGTTGGTACCAATCGATTGCATATGTCTTCAAGCAACATGGACCAACGACGCAGGCGGTCAGTGTTGCTATGCCGGCTTTTCAGTTGGTCTGCGGCAGGATCCGCATATTGTGGATCAGCTGCCAACAAGAGCCTCTTTCGAGTGCGTCCCTGAAGGAGGCGTGGAGGCTACGTGTTGTTAACAACATACTACCTACGGCTTTGGATGCATTTCAGGCCTCTGGTGTGTCCGAATTGGCCTGATTCCCCGGGCCGCTCGGCACGTCACACTACCCTTCACAGTGCATACGCGCTCGACTAGTCGCCAGATGGCGTCTCGCGCCCCACCAATCCGAACGCACACATACGATTGAAGCATAAACTTGGTTCCCGTGCGGTGTTATCTGCAACCGAGATGTCTGCAGTGCGCGCAACTGTAGAGCCCTCAGAACGTGGGCATGCGATCGCACCTCTATAAGCAGCATCTGGGCACTCAGGTATACGGTACTTCTATAGACCCACGCGATTCCGCACGAAAATTCGCAGAGCCATCTCTTTTGGGCCCAAATACAGTCGAATGCGGGATCACGCA